CATGTGACCCACTGTTTGCATTAAGGTGCTGCTGGCCCTTGAAAATGTAGCTCCTGCACTGGCAACCGAAGCCCAGGTGCAGCTTTAAGGCCCTGCAGATAATCTGGCAGATTGTAGCAGTTGCTGGCACTGGTTCTGCTCGGTGATAAAGGGATCATTCCTGTCAAACCGAGTCACAGGGATTCTGTAAATTTATCTTAATAAGTAAAAGTATCTGGGTTGCATAACATCTCCTGTTTGTACGTGCAGGGAGGAAGGTGCCCTTGGGCCAAAGTAGACAAATAATCTCTGAGAGCATTCATGCCTTATCTGGTCTCCTGAGGCAGGGCTGTTTGCTTTACTCCATGCTCCTGCGTACAGACAGACACGTATCAGGGTAGAAGAGGACAGCTGACTTTTTGATGGAAACATTGTGCACCCATCGGGAGCAGTGAGTTAATCACCTCTCTTGAGGAGCTAAAGATGAGGACTAGTTCCAAAGCAGAAGCTGTCAGATGTGCTCTTGGCATCTTTCAAGCTAACAATGCAGGCTCTGGATAGCACAGAGAGGGGAAAGAAAACACTAAGGACTTTGCTTTTGAATGGCACAAACCATCTGAAAATGCCTAAGTGTGACTAGGGCCTAGGGCTGCCCAGCTCTCCTGGGGTGAGCCGGCACACGGCCAGGGAACCACGTGGTCATTGCGAGGGCAGCTGGGGATGCGATGGAGCTTTAGCGGCAACAGGTCCAGCTTGGATTGCAGTTGTGTTGCCACTCCTGGGAGTCATACTTTGAGAGTTGTACCTCTTTGGTTTACGTGAACATGATTTTGAAATTCTAGGACCGAAAATAGAATCAGAGTTTTCTCTTTGTTGTCACTGTTTAGAAGCCAGGATGCTTTGAAGCTTTAGCTTTTTTGTAACCGGGCATTAATGCCATAGTGCAGGGTTCCGACTTCAAAGGATAGAAGCTGACAGGTCTGACTTTGAGGAGCAGCACTGAGGACTCTTATCTTCCACCCAATTTTCAAGCCATTTTTGCACATAGATAAAAGTATCAGAAGGCAGGATTAATGATGTCATATAATGATTATGAATTAAAAGAGGGGACTGTTTTTGAAATGTGTTTGGTGTCGCTTAGGCCAAAGAATTTAAAAGGTTCTACATGGGCTTTGCAGCGTATCAAAGGAACTCGGTATTTGAAGGCTACACACAAATCAGTTCGGCGTCATTGCTGTCTTTGGCCAAGTGTGTGATGATGTGCTCGGGAAAGAAAATGCCTTGATTTGCCTTTCTTGGGCATACGTTACTACTGGTCAGTACTGCCCCGGGCACTTTTGGGGTGTGCTAGGAGGGAATGCTGTCTATGGACCTGGCTGCAGTACTGTAACACGAGCCCCTACATGGCACCTACGGGTCCTTCAATGCCCTGTGCTGTTGCTGAAGCTGCTGGGTTCTGGCCCGCAGGCAGGCCAGCTGAGTAGGCACCTTGTACTTGTGGTTCACAGCACCTTGCTCACACAGCCTTCCTTTCACCTTCCCCTCTCCACAGATCTAGTCAGAGGAAGTGCAGCTCCGGGAAGCCAGACCAGAGGGAGCTGAGTGAGAACCTGGCAGCAACGCAGGGCTTGGCTCACATGATAATGGAGTGCAACAGACTCTTCCAGGTACATCACTTGCTGGAGCAAAGCAAAAGCCCCGAGCAGCCTGACGGAAGGGGCCTGCTTTGAGCAGCAGTTTGGGCCAGAGCCCTGCAGACGTCCCTGCCAGCCCAGCTGTTTCTCTGAGCCTGTGGCAGCTGTGAGTGCTGCTGGCTCCAGTAAAGATAAAATTAGTGTCATTGCCGATTTTACTGCAACTACACGTAAGGGCTGTGAGAGCATTCCTCCATTTCCTCCTCCATCCCCCAGCTGCTATGGGGTTTTGATTCCCTGTGCTTGGGGCCAACTTAGAGAGTACCTGTGGGGCAGAGGCCGCTGTACGCTCTTGCAGGGAGGCCCTGGCCAGGGCCAACCACCCCTTCTTGTGAGAGCAGGTTGAAGTTGAGGTTTTGCTGCTGGGGCCGGGACAGAGCAACAGCCATGCCTGTGCCTGGCCAAGGAGCCCCA